TCCTGGGGCCCAAGGTCAGGCTTTTGAAGGTGTGTCCAAGGATGGAGTACCAGCCCCAGTGCTAGATCGCTCCTTCTCAGACAGACTTCCCCTCTCCATCATTCCTGGCGCTCCATCACTTCGGACCAGTGAGTCCTCGACACCCATTCCTCTCTTCCCTTCCGTCCCACCCTCCTCCTTGTCCCTCTTCTGGGACCTTCTTCGTCAGGAGGTCACTTCACTCCTCTCTTTGGGGGCGGTAGAAGAGGTTCCCCTCACATTCAGGGGAAAGGGATTTTATTCCCATTACTTCCTCATTCCGAAGTCCAAAAGGGGCCTTCGCCCCATTCTAGACCTCAGAGGGCTCAATGCCTTCATAAGGAAATCAAGGTTCAGGATGGTGACGTTAGCCTCCATCATTCCATCACTCGATCTAGGGGACTGGTACCTGCCCTCGATTTGAAGGACACATATTTTCACATATCCATTGTCCCTCTCCACAGACAGTTTCTGCGTTTTGTAGTGGGTGGCGACCACTATTGGTTTGTGGTCCTGCCATTTGACCTTTCCTCTGCTCCCAGGGTGTTCACCAAATGTATGGCAGAGGTAGCTGTCTTTCTAAGGAGGAAAGGGCTCCACTGGCTCATAAGGGGTCGTTCCAGAGACCAGATACTGTCCCATATTGCGTTAGCCAGGGAAACCTTCTCCCAGCTGGGTCTTATGTTAAACCCTCATCCCCACTCAAAGGGTATGTCTACACTACAGCACTAATTCAAACTAACTTAATTCGAAGTAGTTAATTCGAACTAACAGACATTAGTTCGAATTAACTTTGATAGGCGCTACACAGGCAAACCGCTAGTTTGAACTTAATTCGAAATAGCGGAGCGCTTAATTCAAACTAGGTAAACCTCATTCTACGAGGACTAACGCCAAGTTCGAATTAAGTAGTTCGAATTAAGGGCTGTGTAGCCACTTAATTCGAACTAGTGCATCTAGACCTAAAAACTAGTTCGAATTAGCTTAGTTCGAATTAAGTAGTTCGAATTAAGGGCTGTGTAGCCACTTAATTCGAACTAGTGCATCTAGACCTAAAAACTAGTTCGAATTAGCTTAGTTCGAATTAAGTAGTTCGAATTAAGGGCTGTGTAGCCACTTAATTCGAACTAGTGCATCTAGACCTAAAAACTAGTTCGAATTAGCTTAGTTCGAATTAAGTAGTTCGAATTAAGGGCTGTGTAGCCACTTAATTCGAACTAGTGCATCTAGACCTAAAAACTAGTTCGAATTAGCTTAGTTCGAATTAAGTAGTTCGAATTAAGGGCTGTGTAGCCACTTAATTCGAACTAGTGCATCTAGACCTAAAAACTAGTTCGAATTAGCTTAGTTCGAATTAAGTAGTTCGAATTAAGGGCTGTGTAGCCACTTAATTCGAACTAGTGCATCTAGACCTAAAAACTAGTTCGAATTAGCTTAGTTCGAATTAAGTAGTTCGAATTAAGGGCTGTGTAGCCACTTAATTCGAACTAGTGCATCTAGACCTAAAAACTAGTTCGAATTAGCTTAGTTCGAATTAAGTAGTTCGAATTAAGGGCTGTGTAGCCACTTAATTCGAACTAGTGCATCTAGACCTAAAAACTAGTTCGAATTAGCTTAGTTCGAATTAAGTAGTTCGAATTAAGGGCTGTGTAGCCACTTAATTCGAACTAGTGCATCTAGACCTAAAAACTAGTTCGAATTAGCTTAGTTCGAATTAAGTAGTTCGAATTAAGGGCTGTGTAGCCACTTAATTCGAACTAGTGCATCTAGACCTAAAAACTAGTTCGAATTAGCTTAGTTCGAATTAAGTAGTTCGAATTAAGGGCTGTGTAGCCACTTAATTCGAACTAGTGCATCTAGACCTAAAAACTAGTTCGAATTAGCTTAGTTCGAATTAAGTAGTTCGAATTAAGGGCTGTGTAGCCACTTAATTCGAACTAGTGCATCTAGACCTAAAAACTAGTTCGAATTAGCTTAGTTCGAATTAAGTAGTTCGAATTAAGGGCTGTGTAGCCACTTAATTCGAACTAGTGCATCTAGACCTAAAAACTAGTTCGAATTAGCTTAGTTCGAATTAAGTAGTTCGAATTAAGGGCTGTGTAGCCACTTAATTCGAACTAGTGCATCTAGACCTAAAAACTAGTTCGAATTAGCTTAGTTCGAATTAAGTAGTTCGAATTAAGGGCTGTGTAGCCACTTAATTCGAACTAGTGCATCTAGACCTAAAAACTAGTTCGAATTAGCTTAGTTCGAATTAAGTAGTTCGAATTAAGGGCTGTGTAGCCACTTAATTCGAACTAGTGCATCTAGACCTAAAAACTAGTTCGAATTAGCTTAGTTCGAATTAAGTAGTTCGAATTAAGGGCTGTGTAGCCACTTAATTCGAACTAGTGCATCTAGACCTAAAAACTAGTTCGAATTAGCTTAGTTCGAATTAAGTAGTTCGAATTAAGGGCTGTGTAGCCACTTAATTCGAACTAGTGCATCTAGACCTAAAAACTAGTTCGAATTAGCTTAGTTCGAATTAACTTTGTAGTGTAGACATACCCAAATAGAGTTTGTGGGAGTGAGGCTAGATGCCACAATGGGGCGGGCGTCCCTTCCGAGCTCCATATTCATGTCCATAAAGGACATTATTCAGCGCCTCCAGGCCATCCTTATGACAATGGCGAGGCACTGCTTGAAACTATTGGGTCACATGGCGGCACGCACTTACATGGTGCAATGTGCCAGGCTGCACCTCCGACCCCTTCAGGCTTGATTGTCAAGGGTTCCGCTCACGACCACATTGATACTGTGTTTACTGTCCCTCCGGAGGTCCTGTCAATGTTGGACTGGTGGCTGAGGGAGAGCAAAGTGTGCTATGGGGTCCCCTTTGCTCAGCACCCTCCCTCGATGCAGCGCAACACAGCAGCGATGTATTATATCAACCCACATGGGGGTGCTCAATCTTCTCCCCTCTGTCAGGAGGTTTTAGCCCTTGGGGACCTTTGCATTGTGCAGGGGGTTCACCTGCAGGTGACCTACCTCCCAGGGGCCTGCAGTACCCCAGCAGACTGCCTCAGCAGGGCCTTCTCGTCGCACGAGTGGTCTCTCAAGGAAGAGGTGGTACACCTTCTTTTCTGCAGGTGGAGAACTCCCCTACTAGACCTTTTCGCATCCCAATCCAACAAGAAGTGCACCTGGTTCTGCTCTTACTGGGGCTAGGGCTCAGGGTCAGTGGGGATGCCCTGGCAATGCGGTGGCCAGCAGGCCTCCTTTACGCCTTCCCCTTCTTTCCCCTGGTTCATAAGGTTTTCCTGAGGGTCAAGAAGTACAAGGCAACATTGATTCTCATAGCCCCAGCCTGGCCCCGCCAACACTAGTACACCACGCTGGTGTCGCTATTGGTGGAGGATCCCATTGCCTTCCTGCTCTTCCCAGACCTATTGATGCAAGAGCTCAACCAGAGCCTACCCGAACCTACATTCTCTCCATCTCATGACTTGGAGGATCCTTGGCTGCGAGAGGGGAGCTCCTCTGTTCAGACCCAATGAGATGGATACTGATGGAGAATAGGAACCCCTCTACCAGGGCGACCTATCAGGCCAAGTGGAGGAGGTTTTCAGCATGGGTCATACAGAAAAGTGGGGACCCTGTGCAAGCTCCCTACTCTTAGATTACCTCCTCGACCTCAAGCAGCAGGGGTTGTCCACCTCCTCAGTAGGTGTACACCTGGCAGCCATCGCAAGGGGAAGGAGGAGGCTCTGTCTTCATCCATGTCATCGTCAAACATTTTCTGAGGAGTTTGGGTAAGCTCTAGGTTAGGCAGCCCATCCAACAGTAGGACCTAAACTTAGTGCTCCGGGGACTTATGCGGGCCCCTATTGAGCCATTGGCTATGTGCTCTCTCTCTCTCACCTATCCTGAAAGGTGTCCTTTTTGATGGCTATCACCTCAGCTAGAAGAGTATCTGAGTTGCTGGCTCTTTCTTCAGAGCTGCCATAAATGGTGTTTCATAAGGTCAAGGTGACCCTACATCTGCACCCGCCTTTCTACCTAAAGTAGCATTCCTGTTCCATATGTCCCAGGAGATTTTCCTGCCAGTTTTCTATCCGAAGCCGCATGCAGATGAGAAAGAGCAAGCACTACACATGGTAGATGTTAGGAGGGCTCTAGCCTTTTCTTTGGAAAGAACAAGACAGTTTTGTAGGTCTACTTGGCTCTTTGTCTCTATAGCAGACAGAATGAAAGGCCTCCCGATGTCAGCTCAGTGCCTGTCCTCATGGATCACGGCATGTATCAGTGCATGTTATGACCTAAAGGAGAAGTCGGCCCTGCCTCTCACGGCCCACTCTACCAGGGCCCAGGCCTCCTCAACAGCATTCGTGGCACAGGTGTCAATCAGACATTTGTAGAGCTGCCACATGGTCTTCGGGCCATAGTTTCACTAACCATTATGCAATTACACAACAGGCTAGACAGGATGCAGTTGTTGGCAGAGCAGTGTTGCAGTCTGTTTCTTCTTAGGATTCTGACCCCTCCTCTGTGGGTATTGCTTGGGAATCACCTAAGTGGAATGGACATAAGCAAGCACTTGAAGAAGAAAAAAAGGTTACTTACCTTGTAACCGTTGTTCTTCGAGATGTGTTGCTTATGTCCATTCCAATCCTGCCCACCTTCCCTTTGTCGGAATGTCTGGCAAGAAGGAACTGAGGGGATGGGGAGGCAAGAAGGGGGGTTATACTGGCACCACTCCAGGGGGCTCTCCGGCTGGTCCAATGGGTACTGCTAAGGGTAAAAAGCTTCTGGAACTCATGCACGCGGTGCACGCACACCTAAGTGGAATGGACATAAGCAACACATCTCGAAGAACAACGGTTACAAGGTAAGTAACCTTTTTTTTTTTTTTTCAGAAAACTTGTGTGCTAACCAGTGCTGAAGCCAAAATGATAAACAAACATATTTTTCAGTTTACCAGATCTTTATTTTATGTTTTTCAGCAACACAAACCTCTGTTAAAAAAAATTCAAATACTGCACCTGTTGTCTCCATTACTCTTTCAAAAATCAATAGGAGAAATCTCTTTGGGGAGACATTACTGCATAAAGCTGTTGCTGACGATGATACAGACCTTGTATGCAAAATTATAAAAGTTGGTGCAAATGTAAATACACAGGACTGTGCTGGTAAGTTTCATTTCTAGTTAAAAGATAATTTACAAACAAATATATAGGCCTAAGTAATAAATGTTCATGGTACAAGATCACAAATGAAGGATGTTTTAGAGTTGATCCACCACTTTACTAAATTCTTAATAGTTTATCTTGGTAAATGCTCATAAGACAGGTGATAAATGTGCAGACCCATATATGTAATATATACATTACCTCCAAAACTCAATATTAATGTATTGATTATTTTCATCCTTCTGGTATGCACTCTATGTAAGACAGTCTAGAATTTGGCTTGATAGATTCAGTGTTGTTCATTTTGGCTATGTCTAGACTGCAGCGCTTTTCCAGGATACTGGAGGTATCCAAGGAGCACGTCTGCTTTTTTGGAAAAAATTTCAAAGAAGCGGATGCACTATTTCACCATCACTTTAAACCTTGTTTTACAAGGAAGAAGGGATGTGTTGAAAGAGGACTTTTTTCCCAAATTTATCACCGTGTAGATACGCCAAATTTCAGAAAAGGCTCTTTTGACAGTAAAGCAGAAAAAGATATACAGTTTGCATACTGCAAATTGCATTTCTTTTTCTGATTTATCTTTGCAGTGTAGACCTAGCCTTTGAAGTTAATGTGAGTTTTGCCCTTGCCTTAATGGGGAAAGGGTTGTGTTAAATTTCAATATCTAGAAACCACCAACATTCTAGATATCTCCGCATGTGGGGAGATGGTTGAAGAAGAAGATGACTTTGGTTAACAAGATCTAAGTGTGCTTTGCTGCAGGTAGTAGTGGAAGGAGGATTGGAAAGTAAGGTGTGATGCATTTCTGTTGTTTCCCCAAGTTCACTCTGTCAATTCAGTAAGAGCACTGCCACACAGTGAACTCACACAAAGCTACACTCAGTAGCTCAGGGCTTACATACTGTCTTCATCTTTCCCAAATCGTCTTTCCTCCATTGAGTAGAATTGCTACTTTGGTGGCAGAGCCAAGGTGATGGGGAATGAGGGCTAGTGCCCCTGCTATAGAAATATTAGAGAGGCTAATCTATGTTTCCGCCCTGACATATCATTCTTTTCAAGCTGTGTGCATGCTTGGAGGTGTGGAGGCAAGTGCGAGACTGGTAGGGCTGGAACAGCTGCTGTGGCTCCTGGGACTAGCCTGGGGAACAGATAAGTACAGCTACCTCCCACCAAGGGGACAGGGGACTGCAGACAGGGGAGTTGAAGAGGGAGAGCAAAGCGACCCCACCGCCGAAGAGGCTACCCGGTGAGAGTACAAGCTGTGGTGTGAGTGTGTGTGTGTGCCTGACTGTTTGAATTTTACAGTTTGAAGTGGTGTGAATTGAGTCTGATTCCAGGTGAGTGCTAGCAGTTTCAGTTTCAGCTTCTGTGGCAGTTGGGACTGAGAGCCTGCCATTGTTCCCTTGATTGCCTCTGATTAGCCTCAGGCTCAGCCTTCCCCTGTGTGACTCAGAAGGGGGCAGGCCTGACCTAGGCAAGCAGGCTTTAAAAAGCCAGAGCAGTGCGACCAGGGGAGCGAAGCGGACAGGGGACTGCAGACAGGGGAGTTGGGCAGAGGGAGTGACTGATGGTGATGAAGACCCGTAGCGCTTGTGCCAGTACTTCTCCTGTCTCCTCCACCTGTGCCTGTATCCAGACAGAGAACCTGAGCATGGATGCCTCTACCCAGGTCCTGGTGTGGTCTTGCTGTATTTGTGGCTTGCAATTCCCACTGAGTGATCTCCAGGCTGGGGGAGACAACCGTTGTGAAAGGTGCCTGCTAGTGGAATCTCTCAGGCAGCAGGTGGGAGAGCTACAGGAGGAGGTGGCCAGGCTGAGGAGCATTCGAAGCCATGAGGAATTCCTGGAC